CTCATCAAACAATTATTTCACATGAAACATTGCAACCACATGCATAAAATAAATTCTAATCTTAGGATGCCTAATAGACTATGCATTTATTGTGTGCCGGCCATTGCGCCCGTCTTGTTATTATTTGATGTATTGTTTATTGTAGAATAAGATAAAGATTTCATTTATTCCAGGGATGATTTTACTTTACATTGTTTTTTACTTAAAACCTTTTATTTGAACTCTAAAGATATTTCATATTTTTTATGATAATGAAGAACCCATGAAATGCTTACTACTTATTTTGAGACAAATCTGCTGTTCTCATTATCTTGAGACCCAGTGAGACAGACATTCCAATTATTAGGGCAAAATGATATATTATTGCATCAAAGAGGAATATAAGCTATTTTTATGTTTTTATAATTTCTCTTAGTATTCGGTTAAAAGAGAAGAAATTTGTTTAATTGGGCTAGGAAAATTTCAAAATAATGGTTTTGAAAAGTGACTTGAAGTTTTCAGATTTAATTTTAGAATGAGGGCCACAATCACCTATTTTGACTAAATGTTCGAAATCTAGAGTTTGGGTCTAGATAGGAAAATCATCTATTTGATTGGATCAAATGGGTGTGATTTGACTTTGAGGTAAAAGGGGAGGATATGACTCATTTGATTATGTCAAATGAGTAACCAATAACTTCAGGATCGAAGGAAAGGGACACCTTATTTAGTTTGGGTCAAATGGGAAAGGCTACTAGTATTGGTAGGAGATGTGCTCATCCAATTGATTTTTGGGTTCAAGCAAATGAATACGAATGTTTCAATAGCTTTGGGACCAATGAAACATAAGAGACCCTATAGCTTTGAGGCTAAAGAAAAGAAATTTATGTGGTTTTGTGCAACATTATAGATTTGATGTAACACCCTATAGTTTCCATTAATAGTACAAGGAGTATTAATAAGATGCTTTTGAACATTTGATAATCTTTATAAAACATCCAACAGTTCGGTTCACATATATTTTATCAAACGGAAGCAACTAATAACTTTAAATTTTATAATAAGATACTTATAGAGTTACTACAAAAATTCAATGTAATACATCACTAAGAGGTTTACATACATTATGTTTAAACTTCAAACAAAGATAAACACTATCATAACATAACATATGTGATATTTGTCAATTTAATCTGCTATGATATTCTCCTTTCCCTTTCGTGTAACAACAATCATTAATAAAATACTAGTGACCTTTGAGGTTCAATAATCTATGCAAATTCAATAAGAATTAAAATGCAATAATATAATGAATTATAATATTGAACTAAACATTTGATCAACTTATCATTATTTGAAAAATTAAAAATATCATATTATTGCAATTTAATCTGCTATGATATTGTCTTTTGATCTTTTCTATTTCGTGTAACAATAATCATTTATGAAATACTGGTGAGCTTTAAGGCTCAATAATATATGCAAATTCAATAAGAATTAAAATGCAATAATATAATGAATTGCAATATTGAACTAAACATTTGATTAACTTATCACTAATCTATGCAATTTAATCTGTTATAATATTCTCCTTTCTCTTTCGTGTAACAATAATCATTAATAAAATACTAATGAGCTTTGAGGCTCAATAATCTATGCAAATTCAATAAGAATTAAAATGCAATAATATAATGAATTACAATATTGAAGTAAACATTTGATCAACTTATCATTATTTGAAAAATATCATAAAAATTATATAGACATCATCCTTTATGTCATTTGATGTAGATATTGAATATTTAGTCTTTTAAAAGATTTGACTATACTTTCATAAACATATTCAATGGAGCTCAAGTAGATCTGACATTATCACCATTTAAATTCATAGAGTTCCGTTTTGCCTCTTTAGGGATCCCTTTTGCCCCACCTGCTATGCAAGCATCAAATTCTCTGGGATCCCTTTTGCCCCATCCACACCACAGGCTTCATAATTGGGTCTCTTTTGCCCACCTGATAGTTTAGATCTCATAACATATAATAGTCAATTTTTACTAAATAAATATTCAGTAATCCTCATATTCACAATTTATAACTGTCCTAATTCATATAAATATACAAGTATTGCAAGAAGAACTTGACCTGCATTACTAAAAGAATGAAACTTCTTTCTTTAACATATTATCACAAAGATTTAAATAGCATACTTGATCACATATCAATTTTACTTTCCCACATAGAATACATTTGTTTATAAACGAGTACTCAATGTATTGTCATAGTTAATATACAAATTCTTATAGTTACTATGCAAATATTCATAATGCGTTGAATTACTCAAACCATTTAAAAGACACAATAAATATACTAAAAATCAATAACTTAACTTTACATAACTTACATTCATGATGAATTGCCTCTTCCAAATCTACACCACTTAACCTTCTCCTTGGATACACACTTCTTTAAATATATTTAAAATATTTAAAATTATTTTGATTAAAATACAATAAATATTTTAAATGTTTAAGTAAATTCTAATCAACTTTAAATTTTTAACTTGTTAATATATTTTAATTAATTCTAAATATTATAACTATTTAATTAAATATTAAAAATATAAAATGAAATTGTTTAAATTTTAATGGATTTCCCTCTCTCTTTCCATTTCTCTCAAACTCTCTCTCTCCCTCTCTACCTTTTCTCTTTTCTTTGTGCTTGATATGACTATTCATTTCTCTCTTTCCATCTCTCTAAAACTGAAAATCTAAATAAAAAGTTTTAAAGAGAAACGCATAGCAACTTTGCATTTTCTTATTTCTACCAAAAACGTGAAGCCCATTTGCGTGTATGATCCTTTTAATTTTTTTTTTAATCATGATCCTTCTCCTAATTTAATCTTTAATAATGATCATTTTTAAAATTTGCCCAAATTTCAGGTTGTTGCATTTGAGCTATTTGTTTGAATTAGGTTCAAGGAAATGCATTGGATTAAACATTTTGGTTGTAACTTGGGAGTAGAAACTAAAGAGAATATCTCAAAATTTTACTGTTTCAAGAATGACTAACATCTATTTCACAGGACAAAACAGTTGAGGAAAGCTAGGCTTTCTGTCCTATACAAATGATTTAGGATCATTTGTTGACTTTGAGGTCAAATACGATGGAAGAAAAATAAAGATTTTGCTCTAGAACATATTAACACTATTTCATAATCCCTTTGAAATCATTTTGGAGCCTCTATGTGAGATTTAGAAAGAGTATTACAACAAAAAACCTTAATAGGAGGGAGGTTTAGATTAAATTTTGTTTAATCCAAACCAAGGAAAACATAAGGCTTGTCTAATATTGTTTGACATCATAGAAGGCTCCTAAACAAATGATAAGGTTCTTTAAAACTCATTTAAAGGTCTTAAGATATCTTTAATAAGAGTTATGAACAGTCAGCAAAATGAATTCTTTTGAAGAAGTTAAATTTAGGTTTAACCTTTACACAACTCAGGCCACCTTAAAATGTTCTTAAAGGAAAGAGGAGGTTCTAAATAGATTCAAGAAGATGAAATGTCACTTGACTAATTCGAGTCAATCAAGTCACGAAAGCTAGGATTTGGGTAGTAGGGAGAATAGGGTCACTTACCTGTTTTTGGGCAAGCGGAGGAATCCTACAAACTTAGGATTTGATCCTACAGAGTGCTAAGACTTTCTTGATCTTATTAGAAAGTTTTAGGAAGCTTTTGTATGAAGTTAGAGAAAAACAAAGCAAGGAAGATCCATTCAGAGAAGGGCCAAATTAGGTTTGATCCTTACAAACCTCTAATCATCCCAATATGTGCATTTCCTTGCACATATAATAAAATACTGAGTATAAATGTTCACATGCAAGAAGATCATGAGATGTAGCCAACTGAATGAGCGGCTATGGTCACTTATATGAATAATATCATGAGGGTCTAACTAGCCTGAACTTATGATTAACTCACGGATGAGTAAAGGGGTAAGAAGGCATCAAGATGGCAAATGAATGATGCCTAGTATGATGCAGGCATGAATTGCATGACAAACATGACTTCTATAAACTCTCTTCGTATGTTTCCTTTATAATGTGTTGTAGCTGAATGGATCTCAGTCCATTAGTTATGCGTATGTATGTTGATTCGTTTATGAACATATTGAGCTTTTCCTTGATGCTTTATTTTATTGTCATGAGTTTCCACTGAATTAACTTACAATTGCTATCCATCTCAAAGTGATTGGTCAACTAAGGAAAAGGACAAGAGTAAGGAAGATGGAGCGAGTCAGGTGTAGGCTGAATAGTTTTTTAAGTGGACTGAGTGGTTCCCAATGGATTTAGCCGGGTTAGTCCTTCCAGTGGTTGTCTAGGCAAGAGACTTAGGATTTCCTTTCAGCAAGTCCCTTATTTTTTGCACTTGTTTCTCCTTGAGGCGATAAACTTGTATTAGGATAATGCTAATGCTTGTATTGAACACTTATTAACTGATAAGCTTCATTTACTTATTCTTTGACTTCCTGGTCTTCTTTTACAATATTTGCTTTAGCTCCTTAAACATGCAGACTTCCACAAATGACTTGTCATTGTTGGTCGAACATTCCAATCCGACCACTTTCTAAGATGCAACTATGGTAGTTCACTAAGGAGTTGAAGGATTCTCTTCTCATTACAACCATTTCTCTCTCTCTCTCTCTTCAGCTTTAAAATAGGTTGATGAAGGCCTTGATTGTGCATGACCTTCATTAATCATCAAGCAGGATGTTTTTGGGCGAGCAAGCCTCAGAATGCTGTTTTTTTTTTTTTTTGGGTGATTATTGCTTTTAAAAGGATTATTGCTTGTCTTGCTGGTAATTTTTCTTTGCCCTTTTTCCAAATTAGGAGGAATAAACTGCTGTTTTCTGAAAATTTTGAAAAATATGCAACTTGGTCAAAACTATCTGTCTGAGCTTCAATTTACTTTTATTTCTATTTCAACCTTTTCAACTGAGAAACTTTCCTCGTTTTATATTAACCAGGTCAAAATTTGGAAAAAGCTAAAGAACAATTTAAAATTTTGAAACATGTGCTCAAAGCATTTATGCTTCGGAGGACAAAAGCAATGCTTATTGAGAGAGGAACCCTGACGCTGCCCCCACTTACAGAGATTACCGTGTTAGTTTTTCCTAACTGAAGGATTACCTTTTGAGTTAATTTTTATATAATTGCTTTAGTCTTTTAAAAATCTCTTAAAAGTCGATTATCTGTTATTTCATATTTGCAGATTGGTGCCATTTGTGTCCCTGCAAAGAAAGGTCTACATGTCAATACTGAGGAGGGAGCTTCCTGCACTGCTTTCACTCTCATCCGGGGCTTACACTCATCAGTCTTTACAAAACATTGTATATTTTCTTACTTTTATATTGTGGAGTGAGTTTTCTATTTGATTTTAATTTTATGTGGCTTCAAACGTGATGTAGGAATTTTTTCAGGTCTAGAGATCCTAATGTAGATCTACTATGCTCTGCAGAATTAAGTCATGACCAGCACTTGCTTTTTACGAATTTTATAGCTGATAAAATCCTCAACGGGTAAATTTCATGGGAAAGGAAGATCTTGATCGTAAATGACTATTTACGACTACTGATGAAATAAAACATATACATTCCGATTCTAAAATCTTGAAATTCAAGATCAGTAAAGCCATATAAGTGATTGAAATTTTGCGCATGAAAAAAGAAACCACAATATAAAATGTTAACCTCCATATGTGTCACACCCAGGGTCTGAAAGTTAATACACCTTGGTAACATGGGATGTGATGAGAGGATAAGAAGACGTGCTTTACACTTACAAAAGAGAAAGTTCACATACAATTATTACAAACAGAAGATATCAGAACAAACAATGAAAGATAAAGAAAAGTTTCATTTCATTACCATGAATCCAAATGACAATAAATGAAAATGTAGAACCAACTACATATGCATAGAGAACTGAAAAAAAATCACCACTAAATAAAACTACCAAAGCCTTAAAAGAAAATAAAAGAACGACCTATCACAATATATAAAATATCAAATCTATATCTATTTTAATGCTAGTAACTTTGCTCCCGTCGGGATGTTCCACCATGCACTCCAGTAGGATTTGCTATAAGAAAAATTAACAACTAGCAAGTTTGAAAAATTAAACTCAATAAGCAACTTTTATCTATTAAAGAATAAATGGTAAGGAGATGTGGCATGTAGTATGAACAACCAAATAAGTTGGAATTATAGTAACGGATAGTTGATATATCAATGTAACAATGCAATAGTTTATAGTTTCTATGACAGGTTCTAATGTTATGATATCATAAAATACATATGTAAAACTGTCACTACAATATCAGTTAAATTTTCATACATGCAATCACTCTAGGTATTATTATATCTCATTATGATTTATCAGATATTCTTTTTATTCAGCCCATGTCTATTTGCAAATACATACATTCATATATATATATATATATATATATATATATATTTGATATTGTCAAACACCCTGTATCGAGAATGTAAACACGAACTCAAAGAAATTCAATGATTTCCTATAGAATTGTCACTCTGTGAGCTGTTGGATTGGCTTGGTAATATCAAATAGGGTTCTACCGACTTACATAATGACATTCACTTTCGATGACGTTATAAAAAGGTTTTCAACTTTGTTATATATTAAATATGACAATTGCTATTTTATAAAAAGTTATGATTTGTAAAAATAACATTCATTACCTTCAAACGAAGTGCATACACGAACATACATTTTTTACATGAATCAATATGCAAGATTTGTGCAGCAATAAATCAAAATAATTTTTTCTTTGCAACTTGTTATTTCATTATGAGCATAGAAAAATTATCTACGAGTATATGTATACAAGAACAACATCAAATCTTTATCCACTATGTGGAGTCGGCTACATGAATAATTTTTTTCCATTGTGACCTGTTAAAATTTAAATTCTCATTTAAATCTAATAAAGAAAGTTCATTTTTAATATTTTCTGACCAATTCTTTTTAGGTCTACTTATACCTTTCTTAACGTAAGTCTAATCTAATACATATACTTTCCTAAACAGGTCATCAGAAGGCCGCTGTTTTATGTGATCAAATCATCTAAGGCGACTCTTTCTAATCTTATCTTCCACTGGAGCTACTCCAACCTTTTCAAGTATATTCTCATTTTGCATCCTGTCTCTAAGAGTAAAGCCACTTATCCACTTGAGCATCCTCATCTCTGCAACACTAAACTTAATATTACGCTTCTCTTTTAATGGCTAACATTCTGCACCACAAAGCATTGGGTGTCTCACCACCATCTTATATAATTTTCCTTTGAGTTTGAGGGGGACTTTTCTATCACACAACAAGCCTGATACATTCCTCCATCTCAACCATCCAACTTGAATTCTAACATTGTTTAAAATTGCGCAATATAAGGCTCGCCTCAATGCAATTCCAGAGAAAAACACTTCAAGGTTTATGCCTCGAGCTTGCTGTTAAATTATAAATTTTATATTGAGTCCATAAGAAAATGATATTTTTATTTTTCAGGACAATATATCATATTTCTTATTCTATATTTGATCATAAAATATATAATCCGTTTGAGGATTACAAAAATTCTCGAACAGTGTTGTTGGAATGTAAGCCTCAACATTCTAATTAAAATTGTCAACTTAAACAAAAATTGGATTTTAAAAATGTAAAGCTTAATATAGGATAGTTTTGAGTACTTTTAAGTTTTTTTCTCAGAATCAAGTACTGCTACTCTTCCTTCGGCTTTCATTCCAAGAACTCCAATCAAAGTTGATTCTCTCATTCTTTGAAATTTTTAAAGAGCAAAACTCTTTAAACAAAAATTTCATGAATTTTAAAATGAAAATTTTAGCCAATGTTTGGATGATTTTCAAAAGAAAGAAACCACTAGTTTAATCAAAATTTTTTTTTCAAGTACCAAATGCTTGAGATGTAATTAACTATAGGGGTTTGCCCTTATGGGGCATCCGTAATCCAGAATAAAATAAACCCTATTCAACCAAATATTGAATGAGAGGATCTCTATTAAAATTGTAAATTTTATTATTAAGTTCATGAAGAAATGATATTTTTGTCCTTCGGGATAATATATCATCTTTTTTATACAGTACTTGATCATAAAATATAATCTATTGAGGATGTCAAAATTTCTCAAATAGTAATCTTGTATGTTTTTCTTATAGCTTGTATTGTTTTATTTGAATTCATGTTGAAAGATAAATAATTATGCTTTATGTTGTGTATAAGAGAAAAGGTGGTCGAAGTATTGTAAGAGAGAAAATTCACTCGAATACTCTAGAGAATGAGGTGAGATACTCAAATTTTGGGTAGAGGAAATAGGAACACTTTATATAATTGTGATCGTATTTTTTATGTGATTGAGATAACATGATTTACAGTTATATTATATATTTTGTAGATGATTCATCAAGTATTTATTTCAATCACAATTATGAAAATGGGGTGGGCCGGCGGCAATGGGATAGGGGGGTAGGGATGGCGTCGGGAAGGAGAAGAAAGGGTGATTTGGGCCGGCTCGTGGAGGTTTGGATGCGGCGTTAGGGTTGAGGTTAGAGGGGCTGAGGTGGGCCGATGGGTGGGAGAAGAGAAGGGGTTCGGGTGGTGGGGGAAAGAAGAAAGATAAGAAGTTTTGGGGGAAAACCAAGAGCTCACTCGAAGGAGCTGTTGGGTATTTCGTTTGAGCCTCTCCTAGGCTTCTCCTCTATCAAGTGCACACACAAGAAGAAGACAAATATGAAAGTTTCATTTAATCATTCATTAACCTCTTACAAAGCACAAGACCTCTATATATAAGCCTCAATAATAAAGAAAAGAAGAATTACTCAAATGCCCTTAGGGCGGCAATAAGATCTCATTACCCATAGGGGTAAACTAGGAAAACTGAAATGCAAAATAAATAAAACATAAAATACAACAAAAGTCCGTCGATCTACAATTCCGTCGATGGTACACATGTCGAAATCTCTGGCTGATGTCCTCATAAAAAAGCTTCTTCCAAAGGTGATGGCTAGTTGAGAGACCTAAGAAAACCCTTAAATTTACCGGGTGGACATATCCAATCCGTTATTTATTGTTCTGTTCTCTTAAAGCTTAGCCATTTAATGATTTATTTTTCTCTCACATAGTTATCCATTTTCTGTAATAAAGGAAATTTAGATTTTCATGTGCTGGAAAATCACATGCTTCTCTTTACTGTTGCATTATCATTACTCTTTTATTGTCCAGGTGATGCAGCTCCGCAAAGTATGTAGTCACCCGTACTTGTTTAATGGAATTGAGCCAGAACCATATGTGGAAGGTGAACATCTAGTTCAGGTTTGTGGTCTTTTTTTTCCTCTACCTCATTGTGTCTCTTTTATGGTTTTTAATTTCAGTTTTTTTTTTCGTTTTTTTCTAATGTATGAAAGATGACTTTGTTGATAGTAACAACTTGTTTCAAACATTCATTGTGCAAATCAGGCAAGCGGTAAACTTATTGCTCTGGATCTACTACTTAAGAAACTTCATGCTGATGGCCACCGTGTTCTTATTTTTGCTCAAATGACTCATACCCTTGACATTTTACAGGTAAACTATTGTAGGCTGTCAGTTGGCCTGATCATTTTTTTTGTCCTTTCCTTTTCCTAGTTTTGTTTGGCTACATAGGATTTTCTGGAACTGCGCAAGTACACCTATGAGCGCCTTGATGGATCCGTCCGTGCGGAGGAGCGTTTTGTTGCAATAAGGAACTTCAGTCTTAACCTCACTGGTGATGTCATCGAACCTCAGGCTAAACTTAATGGTGCTTTTGTTTTCATTATCTCAACCAGAGCAGGTGGTGTTGGACTTAATCTTGTGGCCGCGGATACTGTGAGTTTTCAGACACTCACTCTGTTTACCATTTTCCTGTTTAACTCTTTTTACCCTTTCCTTCTTTTGCTTGTTATATTGGATGGCGGAAGGTTACAAAATTAAATATGTTAGCATTTAACTTTTTTCTGAAAATTTTCTTCACCATTGTTAAGAGCCGCCTCATAATTTTCTTTATTATATGAAAATGTCCTAGTAATATTGTGATTTTGTAACATATAATGCAGCTTTCATGTCAGTCTTATTAATGAACAGAGCTGATTATTGATACTAAAAATGATAAAAAAAGATATCCTAACTACAATGTACCTGTTGTGTTAACTTCACATTTAAATTCGTAAGTATATTTTGATGGATATCTTACATATATACCATATACTTTCTCAGCATATAATTACTACTGATTAGAAGCACTTTCATTAGGTTATATTTTATGAGCAAGACTGGAATCCCCAGGTTGACAAACAGGCTTTGCAGCGTTCCCACCGCATTGGTCAAATTAATCATGTGCTATCTATAAATCTTGTAACGCAAAACACAATAGAGGAGGTGAGGGGATAATATACGAATAATGCTTTATTATTATCTAATATTCTTTTGGTACTTACGGTGGAGAGTGTAATGCATCAGGTCATTATGAGGAGAGCTGTGAAGAAATTGCAGCTCAGCAACAGTGTTATGGGGACAGAAGTTGAGTGCAATAAGGCAGGGAATGATGCCTTGATTGAAGCTGGCGATATGCGATCTCTTATTCGTGGTTTACAAGTCTTTGACCCCGTAGATAATAATGCCAACAATTTGAATGTGGATAACTTGGTAGAATTGAGTACAATGACAGAAAAAGTAGTTCAGATGCGCAATTCTGAGCTGTTAAACAAGGATGATTGCATATTTGAAATTAATCCCTCAGATGTTTTGAGTGATTGTCTTTCTGCTAGGAAAAAGGCCTCTTCATTCAATTTTGACGTTGGACTTGATGAAGTCTCTTATCTATCTTGGATTGAGAAATTAAAAAAAGTTGCACCAGCTACCCAGGAAACTAATGAGGAATTTCGAAAGAGGAAACATTTGTCCGAAGAAAGGCTGGTAAAACAAGAAGCAGATAGAAGGAAGGCAGAAGAGAAGAAAGTGGCCAAATGGGAAGCCCTTGGTTACCACTCATTATCTGTTTATGAGCCTGATGTCACAGTCGAGAATGACTTAATCTCAGATTCTGGATCAGTTCAATTTGTGTATGGTGATTGTACTAAACCTAGCAGTGTTTGTCCCACAGAACCTGCAATTATATTCAGGTTGGCTATTTTTCCAAGTTCTGTTATAAGATATCTTGATATGTCAACAATGAAAATGCTAATAATCACAAGTAATTTAATAAATGTTATATGCAAAAAAGTTCTTATTGCAATTTTCAGGCATGTCTCATGTACATGCGAAAAACACATTTTATTAATCTTTGAGCTCCAAAAGCACAAAAGTGTTCTGCATTTGAATTTAGAATCGTCCATGTTACTGTCTTTTAGTTTAAAGTCGTGCAATGGGGCAAGAGATTGTCATTTTTTATTTTTTTATTTTTTTTAAGAGATTGTCATGTATGTGTTGACCACTAACCCACTAACCCGCGATCTCTCCCCCACTCACAGTAGTTGCGCACGCTAAAGAACCCCAGTCGAAACTGCTCGATCCCAAGGGACTCTCTCGTTTTCTAGGTACTGCAAGTAGGAACCAGCCCAGAGGCCCGAACTCTCGTCTCCCTCTGTCGCACGACCCCAGCCGAAGACGCACGAAGGAACCCTACTCGAGCTCTCGTCTCCTTCTCTGTTGCATAGCCCCAAGCAAAGCCACATGCAAGAATCACGCTAGTGACTCCCTCTCCTTCGTTTCCTATGTGCCGCATGCAGGAGCTATGCTAGTGACTCTCTCTCCCTCTAATTTTTTATGTGCCGCACGCAAGAGCCTGAACTGGCCAAACCTCCTGCGTCCCCATACAACCCGAGCCGCACTCCCTCCAGCTACATGACTCCCAAGCCGAAACCCCTCCCCTTCCTTTTTGTTTGTGTGACTCGATGCTAGCTAACAGCTGCCAGTACCACTCACTTCACCCATAGCAACCTTATCTTCCGATTCTTAACCAACAACAACCTTATATATATATATATATATATAATTCTTTTTTATTTTTTTATTTTTATATTGATATTATTTATTCTTTATTAAAATAGAAGCGTAGTTAATCACATTTATTTCTTTATTCATCTCTTTATAGATCTAATTTTTATAAAAAAAAAATAAATTACATTGGGATATTATAATCAAAATATTATCATGCAACAACAACAACAAGCCTTTATAAGTTGGAAGATTTTTTTCTGCTATGATTATTATAAAAAATCGACTATTAAATAGAATTAACGATCATTAGATAAATGACACTTTAGTCACATTGAGAAAGAAATATTTAATTATATTGATATTGAAGTAATCATTCAAATTTTCAAAACCTGAAGAGTGGGTGTTCTAAAGTGTAAGTTTTTTATCATATTGTATTTTATCTCTATAAAATAACATATTCAAAAAAAAAATTGTTAATGTCAGTCTAAAGCCCGAATGAAAAAAATGTGGGAATATATGAAAAATATAATTTGTGCCCCTACTTAAAAAAATTTATGTCTCCGCCACTAAACTTCTGAAGGTGATATCTAAAAACTAAAATAAAATTGGTCCTAAAGACCACTGTTTAAAATTGGGCAATAATATACGCACCTCAGCACAATTCCCTCAAAAAAAAAAAAACCTTTGAGGTGTACGCCTCAAGTTTTGTTTGTGAGGCATGTGCCTCAATTTGGCTGAGGCACACCTCACCTCATTCATGCGAGACATACGCCTCAAATAATATACATTTTCTTTAAATGAATCCCTAATCTTTGCCTCATTCGGCATTTCATATGTTTGACTTTGCCTGTTTCGATGAATCGTTAAAAGCTTCTTCACATTCGTCGACAACATTCCCTTACGGTCAGATTAGAAGTCACGACAATTCGATGATGTTCTTCCTATTGGATTGGAAGTCAACATCACTATGACTGTAC